GAGCTGGGGGCAGCTACTGGTCATGTGATATAAAATCTGTACTTGTGCCAACATTAAAAAGAAAAAAAAAAAGGCAGAACTTCAACTAACTAAAGAAATTGTAGGGGCAAATGGTACGAACACAACTTAAGTAGCAGTAATGTTGCCAGATTTACTGGAACATATTGATTGAAGAAGAATGATGATTGATTGTACAGAGTTGCTGCCAGATTTGAGCTACCGATATTTATTACTTTCCTACTAGAAACATGGGTTTAAATATGGATGCAGCTGTATCACATGCAAGTCATAAGCCCCATTTCGGGGCGAGGGTACGTCGTCATACATAGCAGCTCCGAAGCCGGCATCGAGAGAGAGAGCTACAGCACAAACAAGTCTAGGCCATTCAGAAATTTTGGCAGCAGTGTACTAGAAGTCAAGTTTCAACTCCACGAGCAATCAAAGAAAGCATAGATGGTCCTTTAATGGGGCACTAACAGTACACCTAATCTTGAATTAATGCATATTTACAAAATATATAGGATATATCCATTGATGATCCCTTCGTTGGGAGAAATTCGAGAAAGTCTCTGTCATCTGTGTCACTCGAAGTAATGCTTATCAGGAATGAGTTCTAGAATAGCTCCTGCTTGTAATTAGACACCATCCAGAACAGGCTCCCTCTATGCCAGAGAGAGATCCATAGCTACCGAAGTTAATGGAAATCCATATGAGTCCTCCAAGCTATTTGTTGCATGATGTGCACATGAATTGCATGTGTTTTCGGGTTAAAAGAAGGCAAATGAAAGATAGACTGTGGTTGAATCCTGATTCCTGAAACACGCAGAATCAAGTATCATACGGGACCTTTAGTTTTTTCCTCGTCTGAAAATACCCAATATTCTGAAAGAATAAATCTGTCGAAAATTGGCAATACCGAAGGAACAAGTAAAATTCACATAGCTGTTGAATCTGTGGAACCGACATGGAATTCCAGTAAGTCAGATAATTCACTTCACCAGCGTGGTCCACCCCAACGGATAACAGTTTTTCTTATCACAGCACTGTTTAATGTTAAGAGATCCAGATAACGTCTACAGCTACATAGTTTGAAATACAAACAAGAAATTTTTTTTTCCTCTTTAATTTTCTATCCATCAATTTGCCAATCACTAGGGGAAAAAGATGGGAAATCAGTTTATCTCGTATGGTGTGTGAAAAAATGAGAAAGAGCATCACTTCTGGAAAATGCAGTCTTTCGGGAATTAAAGGGCTTTCTTCACTTGAAAACGGTTAGAACACAGCTTGTTTGCAGTTTGAAGAACCTCCGGGATGCCGCAGCAACTGAACCCCTCTACCTTGAACAGCCCCAGTTACCTCCACAGATTCTTTTATGTCCTTCAAACTGTGGAAAAACTACGGAAAAAAAGTTCAAAAATCTTCAAGGTGGTCCAGATATTAAACCAGGCAACTGAAAAGGGTTAGTGTGCCATTGACCAAAAAAGTCCAACCCATGTGTCTTTTGACAATAAAGCAAGCCAATGTCGTGCGAATTGTCGATGGCAAACAACAAACATCGAATGTGGAAGATGTTTTAACACCCCAAACCACTGAACCAGTCGGATCCTACCATGGAAAGGTCACCCTTATTCATGGCAGGTGGTTTTGGTGCAACAAAGCCATCCACTCAATAACGATTAAAGATAGTTAGACCTGAAAACAGACGAGGGACGTGGAGACATTTCCAATGTTAAAGACGACATGGCTAAACCGAACTTCTTATGGAATCGGATTTTGTAAACTTCTCAAGGATTATGAGAAAGCAGGAAATAAAAATACTGTCGAATAATATCCATACGCAGAACTTACAGGATACGGGTTACAGGAATCAATGGAAACAACATGTCAAGTACTGTTGGTCTGCTATTTTGTTGTTTAATCAAAACAAATAAAATCAGACAAAAACACTACAGAAATGATAATAAATATAACAAATTTCCCCAACTTTCCCCTGCCAATATGTAACTCAGACATCCAACAGCACAGGAAAAGGCTTATAACTATGGGTTTCAAATTAGTCTTTGATTTTGACGTCCCACCCGAACCCAGCTGATATGGTCCATAAGTAGTAATGGGAACTTCATAGATACTATAGAGAAATAAAGGGAAACAAACCTTCGGTTAAGATAGAAATTTGCGTTTAACAATGACAATATGTTTGAATAAGTACTGGTTAGTTTCTTAGAGTCACACACTAGTATAATACCCTACAAATTTATCTAATATGTTATAATATTATAAATAATTTCAAAGATCTAGATATAAAATAAAAATTAATCAATATTAATTGTGAAAATTTATTTAATTTAATATGCATTATACAGTATTTAATAAAATGTTTATATATCATGTTTGAGTTTCAATATATGATTTTGATCAATAAAAAAAATACAATTAATTAATTAATTAATTTTAATCAAATAAAAGAGGATGCTAAATCAATTTATATTAGAAGAGTGTTTAATTTTAATTAATGAGTACATAAAAATTTATAAAATAATCATTAAACATTGAGAAAAATTTTATTTTGAGCAAAAAATTAAAAACATAAAAAAGAATAATATATAAATAAAAGAGGTTGGGTTGGGGCGCACACTAGGTGTTTGTGGATGGACTTAAAGACCATCAGGCCCTTGGGCTGCAAGCACAACCCAGCCATTATAAAAAACAAAAACAAAGGCAGACGACAGAAAAACTAACGTGTTGCCTGACTTTGCAAATTCTGGTGACACTGGCCGAAAAATTAGAGATCGCCGGTTTCGACCTCTAAACCTAATTTCTAGGTGTTTTTTCCTATAACCTATAAGTATCTTCGAATCATTCAAAAAACCATCTAAAACCCAGTTTTGAATCTCAAAATATGTTTTAATCAAACCTAAAAACTCAAAAAATAATAAAATTCGATTCTCTCTTCTTTCTCTATTTTCAGAGATCCTATTTTAACACAATGAAGTTGGTGACAGTTCGATAGAAACCAAAGACCAAAATGAATTCGTATTTATGAAAAACCAAAAAAATAAAGTAATATTTTTAGAAATGGTATCCAAATAAAATGTGTCCGACCGACATAAGGTTTGATAACCAGTTTTCTCGTCTTTGGGTCATAAGAAACTAACTGCCTCACTCTCCCTAAAAGAATAACCTCGTCATTTTTCCTAAATGCAATTAACCTTCCAAATGTTGAATGTTGAAAAGTTTGGTCTAAGATTCCGAAGCACCGTGCTCTTTCATCACCAACACAGAATAATGCTCTTCCCTTGACCAGGTCGTAGAAGGGATATGTTTATCTCAGTGTGTGTGTCTAAAATTTATCAAATTGTATTGTATATCCCCTATAACCTATTTATATGTTAATAAAGAAAGCAACAAGGTGTGTGGCATCCACCAAACCCTAACACTTTCTACAATCACATGGGGTTCATCATCCCCTCTTCAATGGATTATATGCAAGCCAATGACAAGCACCATCAACAAAAGCAGACCTCGATCGCTACCAAACAACATACTTCAGATCATCAGTAAACATTCTCCAACACTCACAGTAGAGGAACCTCATCAAAGTGCTCTTTACCTTCCAAGTAGACAAGTCTCGCCAATTTATAATCATTAGTAATGGAATCAAATCCAAACCCCAGTGAGTGCATAAAGGGCCCATTTGTCGTGAAAATAGCAATTGCCGGAAGAATATCAACAATCTTTTTAACACTAGGGTTCCATAAAGCAGTTGTATCGCTAAAACCAAAAACATCATCAGATTGATGAAGTATTTCATTTGAATAACCAACTATATTACGGCACTGATTTCTTGGGCTCTTAAATGGAAATCAATTTCCTCTACATAGTTAGTAATCAGGGAAATCCTCATCCGGGTGTAAAAGTGGCGCTCGTTTTGATTTTCTTCCATCTCGTTCTCTTCCTTTGAGTGATACTTCAAGAGAAGAAGGCCATTGTTTTTGGCGGTGGTTTTGTTGAGATGATGGGTCGTGAAAGTAAGACTAGAAATTAAATAACACCATGTTTTTGAAAAGCACTGTCGAAGAAACAAAAACCTTTCCACTTCCTTGTTTCAACTTTCAGGTACTTCTCTGTTCTCTCTAAAATCCTGACCACGCCTTGAGTTAAAATGGGCTGGATCTTACCTCTTTTTTCATGTTTAGATTCGCTTTGGAGAAGGTTAAAAGTAGAAAGTTGAAAGGACTTTTTAACAAATATAAAATGATTAATTTTCAAGGATGTGGTCTTTAAATGAGAGAAAAAGCTGCTAGTTTTTATAAACACAGACAAATATCAAAACAAAATATTTCTCCAAAGCAAATGCATCCTGTATCTCTTATTTTTATAGAGAATTTGATGGTGTAAACTAATTACAACCATTAATTTTTTCCAGTTCAAATGTGGAAAAAACAGCATTTACCAGATCAAAGGAGTGTCAGCATTTCAGTGCACGAAAACAAGTTATCGTCTGACCACAAAATAAAAAAAATAGCACTTCACATATTACTCACTATCCATATAAGGATAACTCGTCAAGGTTTAGGGTTTACTAGCCATAATATACAGTAGTAGTTCAAATTTTGAAAAATTGAAGTCTTAACGTAAGATATGACGCCTCTTTTGCCATCAAAGTAGGTTATTTAAGTGCATTCAAAATTGAATCTATGGTGAGAACGAGTGCAGCAAGCCAATCGAAATAGTTTCTCAACCCGTTAAAATAATGGAGAAAATGAAGGCAACGGTTACTAAGTTCATCTCGAAGGAGATAAGTTACAAAACTGTTCAAAGTTTAGAGATGCAGGTAACCTCTACGGAACCACTGGTATGGTATAAGGTTTAGAATGACAGAAAGTTTTCCTCTAATTTCCTACTCATTAATAACTTGTCAATCGCTAAAAGAAAAAATAGGGATATCAGTTGATCGGATATCGTGAGTATCAGTCCTGAAAGATGCAATCTACGAGGCATTAAAGGGCTCTCTTCACATTAAAATAGTTAGAACGGTCCTTGTTTGCAGCATCAACATCCTCTGGAGATGCCACAGCAACTGAAACCCCTTTATCTTTAACAGCCTGGATTACCTCCCCAAATTCCTTGAAGTCCTTCAAACTGTGGAAAAAAGGAAAGAGAGAAGAAATGTTCAAAATCGTGATAAATGGTGTCTAGATTTTAAAATACTACGGGAAAAATACATCTCAATGCTTGTTTTACCTTGATTTCAATTAAAAAAAAGAACAGAGAAGTCACAGAACTTTAGATTCATATATAAGTTATATATCATTCTAGTTTCTAAAAAGATAACGGTAGTTTCATGATGAAAAATACTTTGAAACGATCAATTAGAATGAACATGATTTTGGAGAGATAAGCACTATGCAGAGCAAAACATATCACAATTTGTTCAATTTGCATTGCTATCATTCAAATTGATGGATTAAATAAATGAAACTGATATGAGCCTGATCTGCTGTCCCATTATTTTCTTTAAAAGAAACTAGCTCTGTCTTCCATTCCAGGTAATAACCAACCAATGTTCTCGTACTTATACAAGTGGAGCGTTTGGTCTATGCAGACAATAAGCAAACAAACATCAATCTTTACCTGGTTGACAATATTTCTTCCCGTCTCTTTTTCCGTTCTTCTTCCGTGATTCCCAATAAATACCGCAATAAACTGAAAGGCAATGAATATAATTTATTTAGAGCGCGTGATTATAATACAAAGAATAAAAGTCAATTAGGATTGCCTTTCTCTAAAGTTTTTTACTTAACCACTGACTTCCAATTTCAGGCATAGAATTTGATTCCACATTTGACGTTGATTTTTGTATTTCCTGGGTAGGGGTTTGGTGGGGTGGGGAGTAAATACAAACAAGTTCAATTTTCCTTGTTTCGAGCAACTACACTGATAAGACGCTAAAAATCAAAGCAGAAACACCTAAAAAGGCAGCCAGAGAAGCCAGCAGCCAACCCTACACACACACACACACACACACATAAAATGGAGGAAGCTATTGTCAGAAGTTCTAAGTGCCTCTGACGGGGCCAAGGTTATGGTTGCATCTCTACCCCACTAAAAATTCCAAAGAGTAAAACATTAACAGTACGTGTCACACAGACATGTGTTCTATAGAGAAAATTCTGAAGGTAAAATGATGAAGCAAAGGTTTTGAGATTCTAACAAATTGATGTGTCAAAAATGGTTCTAAAACATGTTCCACACATACCTACTATAACCTTTGGCATCTGGCAGCTGGTATGAATCCACGTCTCCAATAGTCCCAATAATTGCTTTAGAAAGAGTATCATGGTCCATTTCTAATTCACGTAGAAAAGCACCAGTTCCATCATATACATCAAGTGTCTTCAACAAGTTGGGATCGCGATAGGATAAGAAGGAGAACACTCCTACAAAAATAATAAAAATCATAAATTGAATTCCAATGGTTAGATTTATATTATAGCAATTAGAACTTCTTTTCTGTTCCAAACAGTCATAATTGGAACTCCATCCAAGCACTATCTCATTATTGTACCTGAGTGAGTATCAAAATCGCAAAACCCTCCATATGCCCCACCACTAACACGCACACGATCCCACAACCATGTATTACTAATGTGTTTGGAGATAACATAAGCACTCCCATTAAGCTGATAGCCAGTGTCATAGATATTAGCAGCTTTGCCAACATAATTAACCTGTAGAAGGTGAAAAGTTCAGAAATTTCCCCTGGCAACCAGAAAAACGAGACGAAATGGCAGACAGCAAAATAATTCGTTCACCTGTGTAGGAATCACAATAGCTTCATTTCCTGGGGAAAGTCGAGCATTCCAAGCAGCAGCTTCAACAGAAGACTTGCTGCTAGGAAGCAAATCAAGAAACTTACTAACATACTTTTCTGAGTTTGTCAGATTTTTCCCATCAGCAGTCATGTTTATCAAGCAGCCATTCTTTGATAATAAGGATGTACGGATTTCCTCAAGAGATGATGAAACTCCAGCCCAATCTTGATCGACTCTCTCCTCGAGAGCTTGTAGAAACTCCAAGTAACTATATGACCCCAACAATTGAGTTGTGTTAGTATATTTCATGTGCTTACGAAAGCTCTCCACAAAACTTGAATCTTTCATGATATATACATGTGAAGCAATTACCACTATTTCAAAAACTCATACATCATTTTTAAAAACTTATATCAAATGAAGTTGCTGGACAAAATCATCTAAAGGATGAACATTACAACCTTACACCACCCATTTGTTCTGAGATCCATCCTGCAACATTTAACTTTGCATCCATTCTTGCAGCTGCAATTCCATGGCCGCTGCCTCTTAAACGGTTCTGAAGATATTTTTGAGAACATTGAGATTATGCTCTTAATGGTAAAGACTCAATTGCATTTCTTGATTCAACATACAAGAAAATATGAATAAGTACCTCCATTCTTGCTTTACTTTGGGAAACAAACTGCTTAAAGCGTTGCTGATCCGTAAATTGGACTTCTTGTAGAACACAATTAACCTACAACAAAAAATCATTTCATCAATTCATTGCATCCCCAGGCAACTGATTCTGTAAGTGTAGCTATAGACTTAGAAACATAAAGCACCAGCCCGATATTCAGAAAATAGGTCTCTTGCTATGGTATAGGTGTTTGCAGCAAGAGACAAAAGCAGGCTTGGGAAAAAAAAAAAAAAAACAAAGTAAAACCATGCAAGCCCTTAATCCAAAAGCATCTTCATGAAAGTAAAAGCTATAGCTATATAGTGTCCATGCTTAAGCAAAACCAATAATTCGAAAATGTTGTTAATTTGTTGCTACGTGCTGAAACATTTAGGGAAAAGAAGGTAAATGCAATATCTACAATGACAGAAGTGCTTGAAAACCACTTCAACTGGATATAGTGACAAAACAATTCAGCTGCACTTACCAGGTTGAATAAGTCCTCCACACGACCTGCCATGGCTTTACCCCGAGCAATTATATGACTGCATGGATCCTCCCTGCCTCGAACGGATGATGTGAATGGATAAACTGATATACCTCCAGTTTTTCTTCCAATCAACTGGTTAAGTTGCACAAAGGTCAAATCCTCTGTGCCCATTTCAAGCAATGACTGGCTGTGAGAACATCAAGAAATATTGGAGGTGTGATTAAATAGTCTGCTAAGAAATACACAAGACATGGGGCCTAGTCATTAAAATTGACCAAGAAAGGCACATGTTAGTAACAAGATTTCTCATCGGTTAGCATGACCTGACAGAAATTTAACTTGTGAACATATGTTCATTGTGGAGACAGAAAAGAAAAACATGCATGACAAGAAATAAATGGATATAATCTTCAAGGCAACGTCTCACCAGAAAAGGGGCACCAAAGGAAGAAGTTCTTGCTTCAGTGATCTCATGTTGAAGACAATTTCAGCATAAAGGACATCATTTGTGAAGAGTTCATGCTTCAATACTTTCACTCCATTGATATCTCCAACCTACAGTTAGTATGTAAATGCTCACTACAAGTCTCCAAAATAGTTATATGCAGGGTATTCAAGCACAAAACACTAAGCTTAATAATCACCTCAATGGGAACAAGTATGGGTTCTTTGGGAATGTCCAGCAGAGAGAGGCTTGGAACACTTCTTAAAGCTTCAGGTGGGTCGGGAGTTTCCTGTTTTAATCTCAGCTCCTGTGTAGCACGTGCTAGCTCAGCAAGATCTTCTTCTGTCATTCTTGCTTTTACTTTCTCCAAACTTTCTCTTTCAGCAGCTTCATCACGAGAAGCTTTCTCAGGATCAGGCTGAAACAGAAAATACCCAGTGTCACTGATGCAATTACCGTACAGTTCAAATGTAGAAACTGAAATTTCAGACTTAACTGCTTACCTGCATTTCGATGGTAACACGATGAGGATTGTTCAAGATGAATTTCTCAATTACAGGAGAAAAAACAGCTTTGGAACCCTCCTCAGCTGTTCTTGCTTTTAGGGCCATCAAGGGTTTCTCATACTTTAAAGGCTCAAAGGGATCCATATCATATATCCATTTGCTCTACAAACCAAAACCACATCAATCATACTTGGAATGAATAAAAAGATGACTGATTTGCAGAATCTAAGGGGAAAAACATGCAAAACTTACAATGGATCGAAGCATCAGCGATAAGCCACGAGGAAATGACCCCGTATTGTTTTCCCTGAGAGAAAACTCAATCGTATTCATGGATGCCTCCACGGCATCTGCCTCGAATCCTTCCTCTGCTAACTTCTTAAGTGTGCTCATGACTAATTCTTCTACCTTTTGAATGTCCTCTTCAGAGACACCCTTCAACCCAATACTAAATTGTGGCTGAAGCAGCTCATCTTCAACTCCACCACCAACAATGGCATCTCCAAGACCGCTTTCCAGCAAGATTTTCCGCAAGGGAGAAGCAGGAGTTCCCAGCATAAGATGATCCAAAAAGCCAAGAATAAGCTCAGTTTCCAAGTCTAAGGGCTTATCTGCCAGCAACCAATTAAGGCATACCATATGCTTCTTTTTCAAATCACCCCCTCACCAGCCGGATATTTCTCAACAATCCTGACAGGCTCTGAAAAAAGTGTCTGTCGCTCAATCTTTGACTCTTTTGGAGCTGAACTTGCATCAAACATATCTAGATACTCTGAGAGAGAGAGAGAGAGCAATTTAAGTACAAATTTCTCAGAATCCTGAAATTACTAATTTCTGAGATGGAATTCTACAAGTGATAGTATATAAGAAGATGGTGTAATGATCTTTAGGTACACAACAAACACTATTCCTTACTTAAATAAGCAATTTAAGATTTCTAAAGCAAATGGATCATATAACTGAAAAAGAGACACTAACAATCTATATGGCAACCTACAAGCTTTGTAAACACACACACACACACACACACACACACACACACAACACATTCTACATAAACAGTATGATAGTATGATGAGGCCTGATGATATAATTATTTAGACAAATTAAAATCTATGAAACAGTTGCCAAAATCCACCAGGCAAAACCCATTAAATGAATAAATTTTGGTATCAATCTACTTTTACATGAACATTAACGTTTGAAACTTATGGCCCACATTTTTTTCACTTTTACACCTCTAGCTCTGCAAATGCTTCCCTTTAGGACAAAATTACCTGAGTACTTTCTAAGAGAAGCAACATGCATTGTATTTAAGTGAAAATGAAGGGTTTACATGCAATGCTTGCACAATATATCAATTGAGATGGGACTTGGATGCAGTACCACTCAGGATGCGTAAGCGCTCAGTTGGATCGTCATCTCCATAAAACCATATCCTGGCATTGCCGGGGTGGTAATATTTACTGTGAAAATCCTGTAAAATTTTTAATGGTAAAGGAATCAGCGAATGTACCTATTCATAATCATGAATACAATGATCCTACATAAAACCATGCATTAGATACGTGTCCAAGAGAAGGAAATGACATATATAGCACACTCACTACAGTGCTGGAGATCACACACATGCAAAAAAGAATAAAAATAGAAATTTACAATTAAATATTTGCACATTATTGAAAATATTTGACACCACTTGTACTTGATGGGGAAAATCACACCACGAAGTCAATGTTCTTGTGGCTGGCAATACATAAAAGCGAAAGGAAAATGAAGTGTTCACTGTCCTAATCTATTTTGAAAAATAAAAAACATATATATTGTTTTACAAGCTTCTGGCTTCTGAAAGCTAAAAACTACAATGAAAACAAACAAGTTTTCTAAAACCAGATGGATGGATAAGTACCACCAAAGTTCCTGGAGTTTATGAATCGCATAGTATAAAAATTTCTACACTAACGAACTAGAACAAGAATGGTGAGACTGACCTTAAATTGCTCAAACGTCAATTCGGGAATGACTTTTGGATCCCCTCCACTATCAACACCATAGGTATTGTCTGGGAAAAGAGCCTGCACGTAAGTTTCCAGTGACAGTTACGACAGATAAGATAATTTGTAGCAGAGGCATGTCCATAAAACAAATAACATTTAGTGAGCTAAATATCAAACTAATAGCATTTGACTAATTGCACTCATGAATGATTGCATGCAGACATCAAGGAACATCTAAGTAGCCAATAAGTTTCATACTAAAATGAGTAAATCAAACAATAAGAGAAAAGGAAACTTGCCTGCTGAGCAGTTCGTCCTAAAATATTATCAGGTTGGGAATAAACACCCTTCATCTCATTAAAAACAACACCTGAAATTAAGGAAAAATAAACTCATTAAAGGTGAAGATACTGCATGCAAAATGAGGAATAATACTGCCTAACAAGTAGCTGGGTGTATTTCTTAAAATATGCAACCTTTATAAGATATTTCTTCTGAAGGATTGTTGAGCTCGAAATGCCAACCCTCCTGCTGAAAAGTCCGATAATCCTCCACACATTTAGGGAAGAACACAGCATCCAGATATACATCAACCAAGTTATAGAAATCCTGTTTTGAAAAATGTCGTCCATGCATTAACACCTCAAGAAAATCGAAAAAAAAAAACCACTATTACCTAGAGGTCCAATATCGGGCATTTACTAATTTACTCTTACCTTTGTATTCGTAGAAGCAACTGGGTAGCATGTCCTATCAGGATAAGTGAATGCATTCAGAAAAGTATGCAAACTTCCTTTCAACAACTCAACAAATGGTTCTTTCAACGGGTACTTCCTTGACCCGCATAACACACTGTGTTCCAATATGTGTGGTATCCCAGTTGAATCATTCCTGCATTACACCATTAACCTTGATCAGTAGCTTGCACATCAACTAAATTTTTCACTAGTCAGCTTGTGGTGCTTGTTACAAAATTTGACTAGCATAAAAATTTCTCTGGTCCTCTCTCAACAAACTATAAAAACAAAAACGTCACTCAGATTTTTGCTAATACCAAACACAAAGAGCATAAAACACATAAATTTCTTCACAGGGCTTTCAATTTTCAAATACAAAACACTCCGTAGCCAATTCCTTTTGCAATTCAACACTTCTACAATTATAAATAATTGAAATTTTCCAACAATATCCACACTCTTCTACTAAATTACAGCAAATTCCTCTACAATTACATACACTTAACACTAAATTGAGCTTAAAGCAATGAAAGAGAACGCCAAATGCTATAGCAATAACAATCACAGCAAATTCAAGATTTCAATAATATCCTTTCTTCTTCTAAATTAGAGGACAAACCACTAGAATTGCATACACTTAACATCAAATTAAGCTTGAAACAAGGCGATAATGCTAAGAACTTACGGCGGAGTGCGAAAAACAATGCCGAAAACTTTATTCTCGTCATCATTGGAAACAGACATGACTTCAGCTCCAGTCTGTTTATGCTTAAATAACACAGCTTTTGATTTACACTCTCCAATAAACTCCTCTGATACTTTCTCAAATCCATATTTCGCCGCAACCTCATCAGGCACGGAACTAACATCTGCAACCACACACACAGTCAGGACTAAAACTTTCATTTTTCTGATTTATTATTATTAATATTTTGTAAATGAAAAACACGTGACCTGGAGAGTATTGTGTTGCGATGGCGTGAGGAGAGAGAGAAGAGAAGTGGTGTTTGTTGAAGTGAAAAGAAGAGGAGGAGGAGGACGTGGCAGAGAGGGGGAGGAATCCGCTGCGGCGGCGGAGTAAGGAGCAAGAAGTGAGGGGATTAATCGGACGGTGGAGATTGCGAGGAGTGAAGGATGATGATAAGGAGCGTGGTGATTTAGATGAAGAAGAGAAGAGGCGAAAGAAGTTACGAGGAGAGTAGTAGCGAGGGAAAAGGAGTAACTTGTTGGAAGAGCGAAGGACAACCGAAGCCTCCATTTTTGTGGATAGAGAGTAAGAGGGAGGGAGACGCGAAGGATGAGGGGTTTTGTTGGTGGTTTTATTGGGTTTAATAATGCGGAAGGGAGGGAAAATATCAATGGCAAAGAATGGGTAGGATGTGACTTGCAGCCTTGGAGTGCTGTTTTGGGCTTTTTTCTTGATCAGAAATAATTGGGAGGGCAGTAAGAGACGATTTCTGTGGTTTTAATTAAGGAAGTCTGAATTCCATAACGGTGGGTGTATAGTTCGCTTGGAGAGTCGGAAATGAAGGGAGACAACCACGTGTCAATATCGTTATTTTTATGCTAGCTTTGTAGCTTATGCATTGATCTAAATATCGTTTTTCTGTATGTCCTTATTTTAAATTCACTGGCATCATCAGTAAAAAAATTTATAAAAATGCTAAAATTAATTTTAATAAAATACTGTGTAGAAATAAAATTTGAATAAAATCATTTCTATTTGACACAAATACATAAGGTACAAATTGAATAAACATGTCATTCAAGACTCCACACTCCATTAAATTTTAACATAATTGCGTTAGCAGTATAATTTTTACAGATTATTTCTGGTTAGTAGGCCGGGCTCGAGTGATCAGAGCAGAGGTCTTTGAGAAGAACAAGGTTTCAGACAACAGGTTACACAACAAATGGGCCTACGCCCTCCTTGCGCAACTAAGTTATGGGTTTTCCACAAATTTGTTTGTCGTGGATCTGAACTTTAAATCACAAGCTCGAAGCCATGCCAATGCAAACTGAAAAACGAAAATTATCTTTCTGGCCGTGGAGAGAGGGAAAAGTAAAAGAACACAAAAACAAAAACAAAAACAAAAGGCAATTTATGGAGGAGTAATGCTAAGTTTACCAAAATCTCTCTTAAAGAATATGTTATTTATTTATTTTTTCTATTACAAAGAAAATGTTAAATCCGATATTTTTCTAGAATACGTAATTAGAATGTTAATTGAGCTACAACTTTAGTGGCTACTTAAACTTGTTTAACAACTTCGCAATCGAATTTGTGTTGTTTGATAAGTGTTCATAAAAATAGCTATTACCGATAAAATTGTCCACATTGATCTTAACCTTTTGTGATGCCAATCTCTGTACAGCATTTCTCAGAATATTTCAAGATGTTTTTAGTTTCCGATGCGATCAACCCAGTCAGAACACTTGAGCAATAAAATTATAATGGGACCTAACAACCTTTAGCATCTCTCTCTGGCTTTGGCAGTCAGTGCAATCTACCAACAAAGTAACCTTTTAGTTGATTATTAATGGAATCAAAATCTTTTAAGAACTATTTGGTATATGAATTTTTCAATGTTTCACTGAAATGTAATTTCTATAAATGTAATTATTATTAATGCAATTGCTGGAAATATGATATTTGTGTTTGGTTGAAATAAAAATTATTAGTAATGTGTTTTTATTGTGTTTTGTTTTCTGAAAATTCGTGAGAAAAATAAATAAATTTATTATTTTATCTACAAATATTAAAGTAGCTAATTCGACTTAGAAGATATTTATTTTTAATAATATTAACACTTGTATTATCATATTTATTCAAAATTAAAACATTGAAATGAATTTAATAATGAATTTAACTTCGTAAAATTATAATTATCATATGTATATATATATATATATATATATATATATATATATATACTGCTATTAGATTAAAGTCACTAAAATATATATTAAGTGTTTAAATTCATTTTCTGGCGACTAGGTATAAACTAGTCACTTAAAGTATTTGTGTTATTGTTAATAAAAATATGAGTATGCTGGTTAATTAAAAAAAAAACCGTTAATTTACTATTCATTTTTATTTTTCTAATTACTATTCATCTTAATTCATATGCACTATTCATACAGATTTATATTTATTATTCCTTTCATTATATAGTGTAATTTTCAAATTTTTTAAAGATATTTATTATAAAAGTTTTTATAATATTATATTTTGGTCCCTTTTTTTAAAATATTTTTTTTGCTCCACAATTTTTTTTTTGTCTCTCTTTTTTGTTGCATTTGGTCACTTTGGTCCTTGCTTTTTTTTTTCTCTGATTTTTTTAATTAAAAATTTTAAGATAAAAAGGTGTTTAGAAAAAACAATTTACAAAATAAGTTTTTAGCTAACAATATAGATAGAGATGAATAAATAATATATGTAATAAAAATTTATGAAAATATAAAGAATAATTAGTCAAATACAAAATTTTGATTAAAAAATCATAAAATTGAATGAATTTTTATTTAGTTTTGATTTAATATATTTTGATAGACAAACAATATAACACAGAATATCAAACTGAAATAGTTTTTTAAAAATAATTGTACGGTGTCGTAGATAAAAAAACTAATTTAATCTAAAAGATGAAGGTATTTCGGTCAAAAAAATATTAAATGTCTTAACATTTTGAATTTATTTTATTTTAAAAAATTATACTTCCAACTTTTTGAATAATTTAGTGTCCTAGTACATTTGAGATTCCTAAAAATTAGAGATTTTTGGACATACCAAACACAATAATGCTTAACATTTCGAATTGTTTCTTCCAAATTATCTTAAATTTTTTATACCAAACGTGGCCTTACTGGGAACGTGAAAAACAAAATCAGGCACCGTGAAAACAATGAAGCCAAGCCAAAATGTTGGTAGGTACAGTCATGACTTTTCAAAATGGACTCGTGACTTTAATCAGTCTTTTCATTGCCCCATAGTCTTGCTTAATCAATCTCTTTATAGCTCTACAGATCAACAACATTTCTTGATCATCCACTTCTTCTTTCTACATAAATCCCAAACATTCCCTTCGACCATGAATTCAAGTTTGAATGAAATAGTTCACCAGTGGGGCTCGTATATTCGTGTATACAAAGATGGGCGTGTAGAAAGGTTCTTTGGCACCGATGATAAAGTTCCAGCATCCATCAATTCTACGGATGGGGTATCAACCAAGGACGTGCTTATCGTTCCAGAAACCGGCGTATCAGCACGTATTTTTATCCCTACTAGCACCATAAATTCAGGCCAAAAGCTCCCTCTCTTAATCTATTTCCACGGTGGAGGGTTCCGGGTTGGATCGCCATTTTGTGCCGCATATAATAATTATGTGACATCTCTTGTTACTACTGCTAATGTTGTTGCTGTGTCCATTGATTACAGATTGGCTCCTGAGTACCCAGTCCCAACATGTTACGAGGACTCTTGGGTTGCTCTAAAATGGGTGGCATCACATTCTAAAGGTGAATGTCCTGAAGAATGGTTAAGGGACTATGCTAATTTTTGCCAGGTTTTTCTTGCTGGTGATAGTGCAGGTGCCAATATTGCACATGACATGGCTGCTCGAGCTGGGATAGAGAATCTAAACGGAGTCAAGTTGATGGGACTTTGTTTAGTCCATCCATATTTTGGGACAAGAGATGGTGTGGACAAGTCTTGGATTTTTGTGAGCCCAACTACAAGTGGGTTGGATGATTTTAGATATAATCCAGCTGCTGACTCGAGGATGGCTAGTCTGGGGTGCACCGGGATGCTAATTTGTCTGGCTGAGAAGGATGGGCTGAGAGAGAGGGGGTTGTTTTATTACGAGACATTGAGGAGGAGCGGGTGGGGTGGAGAGGTGGAGATTGTGGAGACAGGAGAAGAGGGCCACGTGTTTCATTTGTTTAACCCAAATAGTGACAACGCTGTATCGTTGTTGAAGACACTGGCCTCATTTATTAACCATAGTTAGGCTTTCCTTTCATTGCCATTGACCGAGATGTCATAGGCTTGTCCGCTTACTAGGGTGAATATTGTATTGGAGTTTTTTTTTTTTTTTAATAGAGTATTTTTAAATCTTATTTTCTAAAATTAGATACTTTAATCTTATGTATCAAACCAGTGCATTAAATATCATGTAAACTCTATTTCATTAATCCTAGTCGTGCTATCCTTTTTAAAACATTTAACAAAACTTTAATTAAATTTTTAGTTCGGATAAATTATGTATAAAGATAACACGATTAAAATATGTATCTTTCTCTCTTTCTTCCTCCTCTATGTGTCAAAGTCGGTTGTAATATTAGATTCTACCATCATATATTATAGCTATACAATGTTTTTTTTGTTGGTAATCATTATATCGTTACTATGGTATTTATTATAAAGCTCATAAAAGAAACAACTTAACAAGAAGAAAAGTTATCTAACAATATATCTGAATTTTTAAAAGAATACTGTATTATTTTAAATATAGATCTTGAAACTAAACCTAAAAATGAACCAAATTTTTTCTTTTTTTGAAAGGTAAAGAGTTTAATCAAACAAATTGATTTCCCATGCTTTCCAATCATTTCTTCTTTTGTTAAATCCTTTTCTTCTTTTTTTCAAAACATATAAAAATTCTTATTTTTTCATGATTTCAGTTTCACTTGAACATTAAATCAACAAATCTAGGGCAAAAAAGGCTAATTGATTGCTATTTTTTTTCAAAATCTAAGAAGAAACACTATGAACTTTAAGACTGATAGAGAGAGAGAAAAAAACAAATGCAATCAGCATGAATTTTTATCACGGTTGAGAATTAAGACAATTCAATATTGATTGATTTCTATCTCGTTTAGAAACAAAAACAAATGCAAAAGAAAGAACCAAAGAGGCATCACAAGTGACTATTGTTACAAAGTTTCACACTGATGTCATAGTTTATATTCAACTGTATACTTATTTTATGAGCAAAAGAAAGAGTTAGAAGATCATAACCATCCGTTTAAATATTTACACAACCATGTCATGTATTTTTTTAGGGGAAAAGATGTTATACTATTGCCAATGAAATATAAACTCCATGAGGTCATTTATAACTAAGAGAAATAATAGTCCGAATCGGGGCAAATATGAACTCCATGAGGCCATTTATAACTCTGAGAAATAATAAACTTAACTCGAGCATCTTATCGAACGTACATGATGAAATGGATATTTAATTATTAAATATTCATTAGCAACACTAAAACAAGAATAAAAGGTGTCATTTGGTAATGAAGATTCTTTTTTATTAAAAGAGAATGTTATAACCCAAAATTTTGGGTTAAATTTTTATTTTATTTCATTATTTTTTTATTTTATTGATTAAAAAAATTCAAAAAAATGATAAATGATAAAAAAAGAAAAAAACAAAGAGAGAGAAATTGTTTAATTTTACTTTTAAGGATGTAATTGAAAATTAAGGGAGAATTACAAAACAATTGAAACTTAAGGGACTAAAATAATTATAAAAAATGACTTAATTGCAGAGAAATCAAAACGAAGGAGGACCTCATTGAAATGAGTGGGGCGAACGACAGGACGAACTTGACACTTTGTCCATGGACGACCTGTCATTCACCCTTGAATTATTTGGTACCTTTTACTATTCATCTCCTTCTTTAAAGAAGGAGATAAAAACGAGCTCCTGGCAGTTTGTTACAAACTGTAACAAACTGCCATTTACCACTCATCACACGTCTTTTCCTTTTATTTTTTTCTTTTATTTTCTTTTTCTTTTTCTTCCCACTCCACCCTCACATGTCTATAGTCCAGTTCCATTCTTCATCACCTTCCCCACGTACTCAAACTGCCATAGCTCCTGCTCTATTTTTTTTCATTATTCCACTCTCCACAAAATATAACCTCCACTCTCCACTCCCCATAACCTTCACATTTCACTCCCCACGATCAGCCATCCTTCCCTTTATAAACTGCCGTGCCACTCTTCACAACCATTCTAAGCCTATAAATAAAGCAGGCAGGAAAAAAATATAGGGAGAAAAAAAGGAGTGACAAAAAAAAATGAGGAAAGACGTAGAGAGAACGAAAGAGAGAAATCACAAAAAAAAAAAAAAAGCAGAGCAAGCAGGAAAAAACTAAAAAAAAAAGAAGAAAGGAAAGAATAGAGATAAGTGAGCAGTAAAGAAAAGGAGGAGAGACCGAGAGGAAATATAGGGAGAGAAAGAGGAGAGCACGAAAGAAAAGAAAAGGAGAGAGGCAGTAAGAAGCGACAGGGAAAGGGAGAGCAAGAAACAGAGAAAAGAAAAGAAATCAAGCTTAAAAAAAGGAAGGCATTATTTTCGGGTTCTATGACTAGCTATCTGTTCTATTTCGTTTTTAACATCTCATTCTTTTGCAGACTCAACAAGTAACTCTATAACCTTTTCCTCTACTTTGACATATCAATATGTTTTAAATTTATTGAAAGTTATTATCAGTGTATGATATGTAAAAATTATAACAAGCTGCTTTTGGTTTTGGTTAGTAATACATGAAAATTAATGTAGTAACCAAGGAGAGCAGAGTGATACTTAGTTGCTTGCTTTGTGGATGAATTTTAGTTGGTCAGGTTAAAAAAAAACGATAAGAGCAGCAAACATTTCTTATCAAACCTCCAACAGGCCCACTGTCAAAAAAATAAAATAAAAAGTTATGTAGTTTGTTTTATTTTATTTATTCATGTTTTTATTTTACTTTAGATGATTTATTTTGAATTTTATTTATATATGTTTATGTCTTATTTAATTTTTTTATATATATATTCTCATTTTTTTATTTAATTTAAATTTTAGAATTTTAATTTCCATAACTAATTTTGATAATAAAATGATAGCTGAATTATCGAGTTTCCTAATTTTTAGAGACCGATGATAATTTTTTTATAAAAAAAATAATAGTTATTTTTTTAGATTTTATTTAAAAATTAGATCAATAGTTAATAGGTAAAGAAATTCTCAAGTCTCCTAAATTCTTAGGGACCGATGACGAGTTTTCCTTGAAGTGCCCAAAATTAGATTAAGAAGTCAATAGGTCGATAATTGTCAAGTCTCCTATTATTTTTTTAGGGACCGATGACGATTTATTTTATTTTATTTTTTATTATTTTATCTTTTTTTAAAAAAAAATAATAAATAATTTTTTTCGATAACTAAAATGTTCTTCGATACACCGGTTGTGTCAAGACTAAAAAAAGTGGATCCGATGTTTGAATCGACATGTCTCCCAACAAAGGAGTTCGACGATCGTTTCAATACGATGCCACACTCAAAAAATAAAATATATATATATTTACTTGGAAAATTAAAGCTTTAAAACAAAAAATAATTTGACATAAATAAAACACTTTAGGAGATGAATTTAAGACTAAATCGGACATGGTACCTTTCTTAAGAAAGGACGTCTTTGAGTGATTTATATCTTCCCAAAGTGTAATCAACTCATTGCCTTAGAATCTCCGAACCGAGTGTCCATTTTAGGTTCCTAGTTCCTTCAATACTAGGTGGTGACTCTAAATTCGTAAATAACTCTGTAAATACACGAATCCTTAATTTTTGGGAGTCCCATCCGAGGTCGGGTAGCGACGAGAGAATATCAAATGATTTGTCTTAATACATGAGCATGATATAAGCAAACAAAAAAATATCTTGTTATAAGTTTGTATTTTAGTCAAAGGATTTGGATGCAAAACAAATAACTTAAAGATTTTAATTTTAAACAAGCACCTTGCATATCATTGGTGAGATATAAAATATCCTTAATTTACTTTCTCTACTTCTAGGCCAAGAAAATAACCAATTTCGTCCAATTTTTTCATTTCAAATATGATTGAAAAATCATTCTTCAAGCAAGAAATTTCAGCTTCATCATCTCTCATAATTATCATGTCATCCACATATAATAAAACCAAAAAATATACCTTGGGGTAATTACTATAATCGGATACTTCAAAACTATAAAAGATGAAGTATTGAGCAACTTTACCATACCAAGCACGTGGTGCTTGTTTAAGGCCATACAATGTCTTCTTCAATCAACAAACATGGTGGGGTAATTACTCAAAGATAAATCCTTGGGGTTGTTTCATTAACACTTCACAATCTAACTCATCGTTAAAGAATGAGTTTTTTACATCAAGTTGCCATAACTTTCAACTTTGAGAAGTAGAAAGTGCAAACATTGAACTTACTATTACCATTTTTGCTATTGGATCGAAAGTCTCCTCGTAATCTAATTCATAGCTTTGAGAAAAGCCACGAGCAACTAGACGTGCTTTGTATTTGTCGGTTGTGTCATATGTTTTCTTTTTTATATGAAAGACCCATTTACAAGTGACTTACTTATAATTTTTTATTTTGGCATTAGTTTCTATGTCTCATTTTTCTTCAAGGCTTTAACTTCTTCTTACCTTACTTCTTCCCGTTATGGATAGCCCTTAGCTTCTTCATAACACTTTGGTTCTTCTTTATTTATTTCTCTAACAAACAAACACGAGGTCACGGTGCAGATGATTGAGCAGCATTTCATAATTTTTAAGGTGGGATGGATGAATTCTTACCCTTGTTGACCTTCTAATTATCTTTTCACCGAGCTTATAAATTTGGAGTATTCAACCTTGGGGCTAGGGGCTCCTCACTGCATTCTTATCTAAAATTGTCATTACAAGATGCTTATGCATTAGTTTGAGGAAATAGCTCTAAATCATCTTGATCATCACTAAGACTAGCATCTTTAATAATTAATTTCTAACCACAATATCATGATGAAACTTCATCAAATACAACATCTCTAGATGTGAAAATATTTTTTATCTTTGGATCCATGCATCTCCATTCTTTCTTACATGGATCATTACAAATAAAGACACATTTTTTTTGCTTTCAAGTCAAGTTTGGTTCGATTACTTTCATGAACATAACATGTAGGGATAAACACCAAAAATAATTGACATTTGGTTTTACATTATACAAGATCTCAAAAGGAGCCTTTATTTTACTTGGCTATAGAAATAGTTGATTTATCATATGACATGCCATTGAACTTCTTCTTCTCAAAGATCTTGAGAATGGTTCTTATCATGTAGCCATGAAAGACTCGTTGAAGTGAGTTGTGCTAGCTTTCTTTACGAAATCCTATTTTCTTGAAGAGCATTAAGACACGCCATTTGTCGTTAAATACCAATTGTTGTCGCAATATTAAAAAAATTCATCTAATATTAATTCTTCATCGTTGTCACTTCTCAAGTGCTTAATCTTCTACCCAAACTCCTTTTCTACAACATTATTGAATTCAACAAACTTGGAGAGTGCTTCATTCTTTTTCTTAAAAAAATACACCTAAGTGTACCTTGAAAAGTGATCCACTAATACCATGACGTATTGGTAACCACAATAGCTTGATGTTCTTTTTGGTCCCATCAAATTTGTATGAGCCAATTTGAAATAAATCATCTTATTTTTGGATAAGCTTTTAAAAGAAAGGTGATGTGATTTTTCATATTGGCAACCTTGACGGATCACATTCTCATGTACATTTTTAAGAGTTGGCAAACCGTCTAACAACTTCTTTGAAGAGATTTGAAATAGCATTTGATAGTTTAAATACCCCAATCGAGCATGCCAAATGGTCGTTGTATTGTCGATCGACTTGTTTTTTTTCATAAATGCCTCTTCCGTTGACATGAAAAATAAAGAGCCTTTTTTCTCACTAAAAAGAACAACATCATCGATAATATTTCTTATATTATCAAGCACCTTCACATTATTCGGGCAAAAAAAAAAATTTTTTTAAGCATTAATTTAAGAAATAGAAATTAAAATTTTCTTTAAACCTAAAATATGATAGACATCGTTTAGCTTAACATTTATATCATTAATGCCAAACTTCATAACACCTTTTTTTGCTATCGGATGAGTTGAGTTATTAGCTATAACAATAACTTGTTCTCTATTATGTTATTGTAGCTACGAAAATAATGAATCATTTTCGATCACGGGATATGAACAACCGGAATCAATGATCCATTCTTCCTTATAATCGATATAGTTAGTTGGTGCTTGGTTTGTCCCTTTAACTAATTCGGTAGTAAAACGTCGCTCTCGGTTGAGTTTGTTATCTTCTTCATCTTCACAAGCTTGATTTTCTTTGGAAAGCTTCATATGATAATTTTTCTTTAAATGTTCAACCTTTCCACATCCGTAACATTTGAAAGATTTGTTACCTTGTGGATTGTTGTTGAACTTTCGACCATTTATATCTTATTTTGAATTTTTCTCGTTAGCCTTTTCTACTAAGAAGAAAATATCCTCAAGTTCGTAATTGAAATTATTAGCCATTTGTTTAGCCAAAACCTCTTCTATTGATAGTTGACTTACCATCCTTGAATGGAGGTAACATAGGGTGAATATTCTTTCTTCAAACCATAAACAAGAAGTCATCATAGACGAGCTTCATTATTCTTCTCGCCCATATTTATCTCTTAAATTTTAACATAAATATTTTTTATCAATTAAAAATATTCTAAAATCGACATACCTCCTTATGTCATCCTTGCCAATTCATTTTCCAAAAAATGTAACCTTGTTGTATTCTTCTTAGAAAATAACCTTTTAAGAGTCTCTCAAACTTCCTTTGGAAAACTACCATCATGAGCAAGATCAATAAACTCTTTGCTAATTGATGTTCTCAAATAAAACAAAGCTTTTCCATATTTAATCTTTTATTTCCTTCGTGGTTTAGCATTGTCTAAAGTGTCAACTAGAATCTCTATATCAACACCAATAATTAGTTCCCAAAGATTATGACCTTGAAGAAAAGCCTCCAAACACATTCTCATTTACTTGTAATTTATGCCTATAAGCTTCTTAACACCATATAGCGTGTCGAATCATTTCCTCCATTAACCTTTATATTGCAAGACAAAATTTCCTTCAAGTTTCAATCTTCTCTAACAAGACAAACTTGATAGATAAGAAATTGAAATAAACATAGAACCTTAGTTAGGCTCGATACTATAAAACAAAAGAATTCACAGGAAATTATTAAATGAGAACTAATATTTGGAGAATTGTAAAATATTTTTATTGAAACATATAAAAGATTACATCAATTAATGAATTTATAGCTCATGTCATAACAAATCCTACTAAAAAAACTTACATAAAATGCTACCGGAACATCCTATTAGAACATAACAAAATGCTCTTTTATTGACACTTGACACTTGACACTTCACTACCAACTCGATCTACTCCAAAATAATAAGAACATAAAGTTGACTTAGTAAACAAACTCACATAGTAAGATGCTCTAATTTGTAAGAACCCTAGCCTATTTAGCCTCATTGAAAATCCTCATATCAAGTTCCTTTCATGTAATCTTCGATGCCTTTCCACCAATCAAATCCTCTCCCTTCTTTTCAATCTATATATAATCTTCATTCAACCTTATAATTTAATAAATCGAGGACCTTTAACATTCATTGACATCTTGATACTTGCTTTTAGATTTTTAGCTTGAGAATCCTAATCGTTATTCAATTTGTTTCCATATGTAGAACTTTGTCGAAATTTCGTTTTCGGGTTTTTACCGGACCTCCTTACTAGTTTCTAAACAATCATTCATTGACCATAAGATTTAACAATCTCAAATCGAATTCTAGGTTCTTAATCCATATTAGTGACTAGAAAGCTATTACGTTGGGGTTCTAAATCGACCAACCCTTCTAAGCATTGGAGTATGTGGGGATATGGTTTTTGTTTATGACTATATTAACCATAACCAAAACAAATTAGATGAAGCCCCTCATAAAATACTTGTCTAATCCTTTAATGAATCATAAACTTTGCCTTCTATGGCTTAGTGAGATTCCCTCTACACAAATAATAGCATAATCACCCTTTGTTTCAAAGGATGTGTTCTTGTCAACTTTTAAAGTTTTATCGATGCTATTGTCGATCTTTCATAAAATAAAAGAATTATAAAACCGTTATACCCAATATTTATATTAAACTTAAAAGTCTAGTAATTTAATTTTATATAAAATATTTGTTAGTTAATTTATTGGGTGATTTGGTTGGAGAAAAAAACTTACAAATTATGGATTCGTTTGATTAAACAAAATGGTTGTAAAAAGATAAATATAAGATATAATTTCCCTAACAAGCATAAAAGAACATGAAACACAATAGTAATAATTATATAAAAAAAAACATGAAGCATGATTAAGACAATAACAAAAAGACATGAAATATTGCAACGCTTGGTGGGAAGTTAAAGGGAATATGGAGCATTACGAAGGTGCATGTGGTCTATTACAAAAGATCATGCATGAGTAATAAATCTATAAATACAAGATACAATACGAGAAAAACAACACACGATACAACACGTAAACTTAATGTGCAATTTGCTCACTATCCCAAGTTTCAACACAATTGAAGCTTGTTAGGCCATAACTTATTGGAAATAATTTGTAAGCTAATAATTTGTAGGTTGATAGTTCTATTTTTGGTTCCCATATTGTGTCCATAACTTGTGATTTTAATTTCAAAAATTGAATTCCTAAGGAGTTATTATGTCCGAAATACCAATATATAAGCATTCTCTATCATCAATAAATGTAAGTTTTTGTTTCAACTTTGTGCATTGTTAAGTTTACAACTTCATTTTCAAGCATATAAATTGTTTAATCTTAAGATTCAAAGTTTGAATGCATGATCCTAATTGCAAATTAGGTTAGAGAATTTGAATTGTTATTTTGGGGTAGTCATTTATGTGAATAATCTTCCATGCAAACGTGCAATGCAATCTGTTTGGACAAATTGCAAGACTCTTCTGGGGTTTTCAAACTAATTACAACTTGTTTTATTTAATTTCTTATCGAAGAAAATATCAAAAATATGTTTTGAAATAGGTAGTAAGATACGTAGGATAACTAATTAAATTTTTTAGATTTCGTGTATGAAAGTTAGATTGTCTTGCATACTACTATCCAACTTATTTATATTTTTTTGTTACAATTTTTGCCTAATTGAGACAAATACAAAAAGACGTGAAAAAAAAAAAAACTTAATTGCTAAATCAGACAGTCTAGCCTACGCAAAAACTTTGTCAATGGTGGCGCCAATGGGATCAAAATTCGAATGCCATTGCTTAACAATGAGATAATGATCAACAATCATCAAGGATTCACCACACAGGACTAAGATTGTAAGAATTAGTGAATTTGACTAGGAAGAAATCATTCCCTGGATCAACCAGGACAAGTTTTCCTTGAATTTTCGTATTATCAGCCTCTTCAATAGAAATCTCAAGGTTCTCAGTGAGGACAGGGGATACCATGGTTCCATATTTGTTAAGGCGAATGGTTGACAATATTGCAATTATTTTTTCCAAGTTAAGCCTAGTGTTGGGTTGGATCACTCCTAATGAGGAAAAAACCCATGTAAGGGAAAAGTTGGTCACGTCTGTGACCATATAAAGTCACTTTGGACATTTATTCATAGAGCAGCACATAAAAGAGAGAGAGAAAAAAATGTGTTTTGCATTTTGGAATCATCTAGATGAAATATATTGTTCACGGCAACGAGCTCTTTAATTTGAATGATGTAGATCGTTAAAAAACTTTTATTTTTAAATATTTTCTAAACTCATATAGTGAAATATAATCCTTCTTTTTTAATGATTGAAATCCATCTTTATTTTGATGTTTCGATATATACCTTTTATTTGAGTTTTAAAAAATTATGTATTTTATTGTTTGATATAATAAAAAGGTTGAAGTATATTATAGTCTTGTAATTTTTTCAAATCAGAATTTTTACGTAAAAAAAATTATGTGTTGCTGGTAATTATGTTTTATTTATTTTGTATTGATTGATGAATTTTAATTTTAACTGCATAAAAAGAAAAAAAAATTAAGACTGGTGGTTTGTAATTTTTGGTGGGTGTCCTCTGGTTTATTTAGTGTTTGAAAAATTAAGTTCCTTCCATAAAAAACTTCGCTGGTTTTTTTCGTGAGCCGACTGTTCTGGTGTTGCAGGCCTTGGGCCTTTTTCTCATCTCACTGGACCAAAAGAAAGAAGAAAAAGAAAAAAAAATTAGTAGACAATCGATCTGGCACCATACTTAATTGCCACGTAACGAAACCACCGAAAGTCCAATGATTTCCGTTTCTCTGTCTAAATAAACATACAAGTCCATCTATTCAAAGTACTGGACGTGGACGGTGGATCAGGCAAATTTTATAATACACCAGCAATAATCGAGTGACATGTATAATAATTATTATATGGATTTATTTTAAGAAGAAAGATAGACATATAAAAAAAAAAAAAAGAGAAAATAAAAAAATTTAAAGGAACGTAAAAATCTTCTTAAGACTTTTTATAAATATAGATCTAATTTTTATCTTTTTTATGTATTTTTTTCTCAAAGTGAATCTATAAAATAACTAATATATATAACATTAATAACTAATAGTGTATTATAAAATTTCTCCGGTGGATCGTCAATAATTTAGAAAGGACTCGATAAAGCTGAAGCCTACCGGCCCTACCTTATCTACCAGCTAATAATGCATTTTAAAAAACAGAAGGGCCCATATTCAATGGCCGACCAATGAATAAAATACTAAAATGAATATGAGTGTGACTAAGAGGCCTGCTTTTTAAAAAATAAATACTAAAATAAATTCGTCCACTTGACTCAAGCAAGAGACCCCCATTCTCAATTCTTCCATACAGAAAGAAAGAAGGGCCTCCCTATTCCCAGTCCTCGCTACACAGTTTCAAGTTCAAGGGTTCAACCATGTCTGAAGTTGTCCAAGATTTCTCTCCTTTAATTCGTATACACAAAGATGGCCACATAGAGAGACTTTTGGGGACAAGTATTGTCCCTCCTGGTGATCCAAATTTCAATGTGCTGTCCAAAGATGTTGTCTACTCACCTGAACCAAATCTATCTTGTAGACTTTACCTTCCCAAAAAAACAAATCCTAACCAGAAACTCCCTCTCCTAGTTTACATTCACGGTGGAGGCTTCCTGATAGAAACTGCCTTCTCTCCTACTTACCATAGCTACCTTAATACCTTAGTTGCTGAGGCTAATGTTATAGCAGTCTCTGTGGACTATAGAAGAGCGCCAGAGCATCCTCTTCCTATAGCATTCGATGATTCATGGACTGCCCTTAAATGGGTTGCGTCTCATGTTAATGGAGATGGGCCTGAAGAGTGGCTAAACTCTCATGCTGATTTTAGGAAAGTGTTTTTTGCTGGAGATAGTGCTGGTGCTACTATCACCCACCAGATGGCCATAAGACACGGCAAAGATAAATTAGTTGGAGTTGGCGTTGCTGGGATTGTTTTGGTACATCCATACTTTTGGGGCAAAGAGCCTATTGGTAATGAACCCAAGGAATCAGAGAGGGCATTTATTGAGGGTCTGTGGCATCTGGCATGTCCTACATCAAGTGGGTGTGATGACCCTTTATTGAATCCACTTGTTGATCCAAACTTGGCTAGCTTGGGGTGCACCAAGGTGCTTGTTACCATCGCTGAGAAGGATAGATTGAGAGATAGGGGATGGCACTATTATGAGAAGTTGAAACAATGTGGATGGAGTGGAGAAGTGGAGATTATGGAGTCCAAAGGAGAGATTCACGTGTTCCATTTTCTCTTTCCTTCAAGCGAGAATGCTGAGGCTATGCTCAGAAAAATTGTTTCATTCCTGAATCGGGAGAGGGCCTAGCTAGGTTGACAGATTGCTCTTTTCCCCCTTGCTATATCTATTAATTGAAATAAATTAGACGGTATTAATCTCTTCTGTTTTGTTTTTTTTTTTGGCGTTTGTGTGATCTTGGATGTAGAATTGGATCGTTTTAATGAATAGATTCATATTGTCCAATGAAAATGTTAATCGTCAGTATCGATTACCTGATTGAATGAGTATTGAGGTGCTTGCTTAAACAAGGAACTGTTATTATGCATAAAAAGAGTGGCTGATACTGATCCATTTGTCAGCTGCAAAGAAAGTCTTCGGCTGCTATAACAATCTTGACGGAGGTTGTTCCAAAGTCACCTCATTGATTCAGATGCAACGAAGTTTTTTAATTTTTCAGTTATAGAAAAATAAGTTTTTAAATCCAAGTAATTTGTATTTGCACCCTTAACATGTCATCATTGTTTGCGCCCACGTCATGAGATTGCAAAGGATCAAATGCAATACGCTCCAATTATTTGACTTGGCAAGTCGCAACTCCGACGTAGAATCTTTTACTTTCTTCCTATTTATAGCGGATGCTAGACAATCCGGTTCTATAGAGTAGCGCTACATAATATAAGTGATGTAAAAAAAAAATTATCATAATTTTATAAAGATTGTATTTTTTTAAGAGATATAAAAAAAATAGATATTTTATTTTTGTGAATATTATGTTATTTAGTTTTTTTACTTTCTAAATTTATACCTAAATTTTTTTTTAAAAAAATGATGTCTCGCGTCATTACGTCGCGAATCATTTTCGTGTTTTATAACATGGATTTAACTTATACTCCTCTGATATGGGCTCTGGTGTTAAGTGCTTGCTTTGTAACTCTGGGCTGCGCCCTACTATTATATAGCCTTGTTTAAATAGAACGAAAATTCTGGTTCCGAAAAAAAAAAAAAAAAGAGAGTTACAATCTAAAATTGGGGTTCAATAAAAAATTTAACAATCTTAAATTGCCTTCCCTAAACAGTACAAATATTAGGCCAACTTATTTGTCAAGAAAATCTCTAAAAGTTGGGCTCTTTGGTAAAGCCGAAAGCCCCCGATTCTGTATAGCAAATCACATCAAATACAACAAGGAAGGAAAAAAAAAATCAGTTTTGGCTAGATACGAAAGAGGCGATCTTTTTAAGCATCGCCACAGCATTGTAGCAGGTTGGATTGAACAAATGGAAGACGTGATCCTCTCCTTTAGCCTCCATAATTTCAATCACTCCACCCCCTCCTCTTTTCTTCAAAGTCTCACTGTATAACAGGCCTCTGTCCCTCAGCAAATCTTTCTCAGCAACGGCAACGAACACCTTGGAACACCCCAAACTAGCCAATTTTGGATCAGTAGTGGGATTGATTAAGGGGTCATCACACCCACTTGTTGTAGGACATGCAAGGTGCCATGTAGCACTAATCCCTTTCAACACTCTTTTTAATTCATTAACTTCATTTCCAATTGGTTCTTTGCCCCAAAAATAAGGATGTATTAAAACAATACCTGCAACATTTACTCCAATTAATTTCTCTTGACCAAATCTCATAGCCATGTGGTGTGCTATATTACCACCAGCACTGTCTCCAGCCAGATACACCCTTCTTAAATCAGCATGGTTATTTAGCCACGCTTCAGGGCCATCTCCATTAGCATGAGATGCAACCCATTTTAGGGCATTCCATGAATCATCATATGGAATCGGCAGGGGATGTTCCGGGACTCTTCTATAATCAACTGAGACAGCAATAACTTCAGCCTCGGCGACTAAGGCATTGACGTAATTATGGTAAATAGGCGAGAAGGCACTTTCTACGCAAAAGCCTCCCCCATGAATGTAAATCAGGATAGGCAGCTTTTGGCCGGGAGCCACGCCTGTTGGGAGGTAAAGTCTACAAGATAGTTCTGCTTCTTTTGAATATACAACATCTTTAGACAGGACATTGGACTTGGGATCCAGCGAAGGAGGGACGATTTCATTGCCAAGGAGTCTCTCCACCCTGCCATCTTTGTACAAGATAATAAAGGGAGACAAATCTAGGGCAACTTCTGGCTTGGCTGCATCCATATTGTATGAAAACATGGTGGCTCTTTTTTCCTTTTTTTTTTTCCCTCTCTGTTGTACAAGAAAAGGAGGAAGTTGTAGCACCAAAAAAGACTAGGGTCATTTTATAGACAGCATGGAAAGACAGACGCAAAGAAGAATTTGAATTTGTAAGGCGTTCTCCGTGCTGATTTTAAAATCAGAAATAACTCACGGCCTAATATAGCATTGACATTACAAAATTTTTCTAGATGGGTTAGCTGAGTGGAATTTCTAAAGCGAGAGTGTGTAGGTACCAATCTATCGCTATAAGAGCATCTACAATGGTGCTCTTTACTTTTAGTTAGTATTTTTAATATAAATAAAGAGTATCATTAATTATATAGATTGAATATCAATATCCTCTTTAATGCTACTCTCTACTTAACTCTTTATTTTGACAAAATCTATAAAACCCGGATAGACTACTCGGTAAAGAGGTTGAGTAGCATAGGAAATAGTAATTTTTATTAATGAAATTTAAGATAAAGAGTCATTTAGACTCTCTAGTATTAGAGAGTCAAAGACACTCTCTATATCAATTTTAAAGATAAAAATTGTGATAAAGAGAGCATTGGAGATGAAATTTAGATCAAACATCTTTATTATAAAGAAAAATCTTAATATAAAGAGAGCATCGGAGATGCTCTAATACTATACTTAGGTTAGTCTTATAAGGAATTCCAAGTAAAACGAATTGTCCGATTAATTTCTTTTGTCCAAAAAAAAAAAAGTCCTTTTTTCTTATTTATATTTATTTTAAAATATTTTCTTGGTCAAAATTTTAAATAATATACTTACTTAAAATATCCTTAATTAATAAAAAATCAAAATTTTCTTTCGACGAAAAATCAATATTATTTATACTTTTCATTATACATAAAAATTTTAAATATTCATTCTTTTAAAAAAATCCATGACAACTTCTCCTTAAAATATCAAGATCACATTCAAGACAAATTGGAAATTGACTCGGAGATATTTCTAAAAGTTTTGGACCTCAAATTTGAGAAGGATGAAAATTTTAATTTACTGTCTTAATTTTTTTTTGCCTCAAATCTTATAGAGACTTTATATTGTATGTCGAAATTTTAAGAGTAAAATATTTCTATTAATATATTATTTTTTATAATTAAAAATATTTTTAATAGTATGTTATTTTTTCATAATTTTTTTTAAATTTGATTAATTAATTAATTAATTTTTTGATATAATATATAACTAAATTTGATAATTAATATTTTTTTAATAAAAAGTATTTTTAGAAAAAAAATTGATATGATATAATAATTAATAATTTTTTTAAAAGTATATGAAAAAACAAAGAGGATAATAGTACCTTTTTTTTTTTTTTCCTAATCATATCGGTCAACGAAAATTTAAGGCCATGCTAAATTGTTCGTAAAAACCATCTTGTAATTTTCAGTATGGAAGTGCTAAATATGAAACTTTATAACTTTAACAGATTTTTTATTTTTTTATATTTTTTCTGTTTTAAAGAGATTGTTTTCTATTTTGGAAAAAAAGAAAATTCTATTAAAACAATAAAGTTTCCTATTTAGCGCCTCCATCTTGAAAATTACAAGCAGAGTTTTCATTACCATGAGCTGTCTTGTAATCCTTTCTATTTAATTGTAATTAAGGTCCTGCGCCATCCATAAAGGGCATTCCTACAGCGATCAAAGCCGCAATATAAATCAAATCAAGCAATGGACTAATATTCGTAATTTCTGGACCTAAAGGCGTCCACATTCGTATTTTCCGGACCTAAAAACGTCGGTTGTGCATCGTGGACTAACGTAAAAAATTATTTAGGAAGGAGAATTCTACAAGCCCATTGAAATAATTTAAAAGCATTGCTTTTGAAAAATCAATTTTCCTTTATGACTTTAGAATTTCCGGGTATCACATTTGGGAAAAAGGGTTCCTCTGGATATCCCGGTATTTAAAAATACGCAGTGATTCTAGAACATAACTAAAATTTCATAATAATTAATTAATTTTTCTTATTCTGATTGAAGAAAACTCAGCATGTACGTATGTGAAACGGTATTAGAACGACATGTATGAGAAAAATCTTGAAGATGGAAGGAAAGGTAATGACAAAAACAGAAAAAGCTCTGCAAGAAAGAGAAAATAGTCATTTAAAACACAATTAATACTGATACATGACATAATGTATAAGACTATATTTGATTAGACCATGACCAAACCCGGTCATTTTTTGGTGCAGATTATGCAATCCTTCTTTGAAAAAATCAAAGGCTCCCTAAAGCTACATTCTAGAAAGAACCAAAAAAATAAAAGAAGAAAAAACGAAAAGGAAGAAGAAGAATAAAATGCAGATGATTGTCAAAATTTAGTCTGCATATTATATTATATACAATGCTTCTCAAAATGACTTCTACCGTTTTCTAATAAACGGGTTTTTATATTTGGTTTTAATGTATCCAAGCCTGCTTTTTCTCTTCCGCAAAAGCCTCTTTTCCACGGAACATCTTCTTTGACCTGCCGCTGATGTCATTTCCCCAACGACAACCCTTCCCTTAGTCTCTCTTCCTTTCGTGCTTCTTCATTCCTTTCGTTTTTTTAATAATCATAAATCTTGTTATCAGATCCCATATTTTCAATATTTCAAATAATTATAAAGTTAAATATAATAATTTAAAATTTAAAATTTTATTTGGTTTGCTGCCTTCATTGTTTGAGATTATTTGTTATTCTGACTACAGGAGATTTTTGAAATTTTTTTTTATTATTATTTTTTTCATAGGATTAGATTCGTAATTCGTACTTGTAATTTTTTTTCACATATTGTAAAAATTATAATGATGGTGTACTGTCTTTAGTTTCAATGAAATTGCATCCTGGCCCTAGATTCTGGGAGTAAAAAAGCATATATATATAAACAATTACACAAAAATATGAAATGGATGCTAACATTTCTATTTTTATAATATCTAAAATGATTTCTAAATTGAGTTTTTAGAAACAAATGTTTACATTTTCCGAAACATTGACAAACCATCCCCGTCCTGGTAATATAAGGCAACTCATAGTCTTCACGGACCATAAACTAGTAGTCTGCTGGCCAATATTGAGCTTTTGACCTTGGGATAGATAACCAATGAGGTGATGTAGCCGTGATAAAATTGGAGAAAAGGCAACCCTAAAATAAAAAATAAATCGTAGACGTAACAGAATTCAAAATTTGGTCATAAAGGAGAATTTTTTATATATATTTGGTCTAATGGATCTATCTTGATTTCTATAATAATGGGATTTATAGTCAATTATCCAATCACATTGTTCTGCTCAAATTGAGATCTTTTTATGTCCTTTTTTTTTAAGGTTTGATTTTATTTTTTGAATTTAAATCGAATGTACATGATAATGCATGATAAAATTGACAATAACTTACATTCTTATATTTTATTTAGGCTTATTGTATCATAAAATCATGAACTTAACATATTTTAATTATTTTGATATGTTTTTAAAAAATAAATAGAAAATAAATGAATTAGATTTCTGATAACTATATTAGCATGTGAAGATTTTTTCATTCAATATTTCAATTTCACTGGACGTGACAGGACATAAAGGATGACAACATCGATTAAAATTCACTTAGGATTTCATGTTGCTAAAAATTAAAATTCTCCCAAATTCGGACAACATGTCTTTCTCTTTAATTGAGTCCTGATTTCAATTCTAAAATCTTCCCAAAAAACAAATCCAATTCAAATTCTTAAAATCCCTAAGAATTTTTAGAATTGAAATTAGAACTCAATTAGTCTTTGTGCATACAATTATATCAACTTCAACATTCTCAAGGTCCTTTGGAGTTGTAGCTTTTTCATCCAACAAAGTCTTTACCCTCGTTAATAGTTTCCTCACAATCATTCATGCACCTTAAACCCAGACCATCTGATGTATCGTGGATATTTTTTTCTATCTATCAATCACAACATTAGTAAAATTTTACAGTTTAAAATCTAATTTGATATCCATCATTGGTTGTGCAGGAACCATGGCATAATCTTAGCCAAGCTCATTGCAATTCATCAATGACCAATGCTCTAGAGTAAATTCCTTCACAATTTGTTTAGGTTCTGTTATTTGTGAAGAGTGGGAGAAAGAGTGAGAGTTTAAAAGGTTGGTTGTGCGACGACAATTAAGGAAGTTGTTGATGGTTAAGGGGTCTGGTTGGGGTGAGGAGCTCGATAGGTTTCAGGTTGCTGGAAGGAGAGTGATTGTCGGGACAATGGGTTTCAAGGGTGTAGTGATGGTGGGGGCAGTGAGGCTGTTGTTGGAAGCTTGGGGTTGGTAGAGTTTGATAGGAGATTGGACTTTGAGGGCTTTAGTGGCTGTGACGGTCTCAATTGGTGAAGGAGAGAGGGTTTAAGCGGTTGTTTGGCATGGAGCTTCGGCTATAGAAAGGTTGTATCTATGAATGCTAGAGAGGAGGAAATCGAGGATGGGCATGGTTGTTGGCTTTTCGAGGAGAGAATAGCAGGCTTGTCATGGGTGGCAATGACATATTTGGGTTTTAGGTGAAAGGGGATTGGTTTTGACAATGGCTGATTAACGACAGCGAGTGAGGAGAAGATGGAAGTAGAGGGTGTTTTGTGGAGGAGAAGGTCAGAGAGAGGTTGTTGGTAGTGGAGAAATGTGTGGTGGTTGTGGTGATTTTTTTGGGAGAGTAGCTACTAGGGTTTTTGAGGAGGAAGATGAATAGTTGCCACTTGTTAATCTATGGAGAGGAATTTTTTAATGGATGACTCTTTTAGGTTTCAGCCAATAAGAGGGAAATGGCAGTTGCAGTTGGTGTGGCAAGAGGGAGGCTACGGGTGTAGATGTCAACTGGCCGACTGCGATGAGAAATTTTTGTGTGGGAGAGTGGCTGCAAGAGTTTTTTTTAAGAGGATTTTTAGAATTAAAATCAACTCAATTAAAACTGAAATACAAGTAGTTCCAATTGGGGAGAATTTTAATTTTTAACCATGTGGAATTCTAGGTGGCTTTTAATTGCTATTGTCTACCTATATTTCACACCATGTCATTTGAATATCGAAACTTTAACCGAAAAAATTCTTACAAGCTAATATGATTATTAGGAGCTTAGTTTGTATATTTTTTATTTATTTTTGAAAGAATGTGTCAAAATAATTAAAGCATATTAAGTTCATAATTTTATGATATATTAAGCTTTTAATGTATCTTTTTTAATTAAAATTATAAAATTCAAAACCAATTACGAGATTTGAAATATGACCATCATGTTTTCTTAAAATCATTAGATGAAATGAATTCATTTTGACCTAGATGAACCTTTTGTCCAACTGAAAATAAGGATAGATTTTGTAGGTTCAGTTGAGATTCAAATTCTTTGGGTATATCTAGAGTTTTTGAAAAATTGGGTCGAGGAGATTGGACGGATTTTTGATTTATTTATCGTGATAATTAAATAGAATGTAGAGAAATTAACTAGTTGCTATATCATGTAAGGCCTTTCTTTTTGGAGAATTCTATTAGCAATACCAGGCAATTTCTCTTTACCATATCTCATGGCCATGTGGTGTGCTATATCACCACGAGCGCTATACCAACAAAATACACCCTGCCAAAATCAGCATGACTATTCAGCCACTCTTCAGGACCATCTCCATTAACATGAGATGCAGCCCATTTAAGGGCAGTCGACGAATCATTGTACGGAATGGGGATTGGATGTTCTGGAGCTCTCCTATAATGAACTGAGATGGCAATTATTTGAGCCTCAGCAACTAATGTGTTAAGTTAGCTATGGTAACTAGGTGAGTAGGGGGTTTCAAAGCAAAAGCGTCCCCCGTGATGGTAAAGTAGAAGAGGGAGTTTTTTTTAGCATCAATGCTTGTTGGGAGGAAAAGTCTCGAAGATAGATTTTCTTCTTGTGAATACACAACATCTATAGAAAGGACAATGGATTTGGGATCAAGAGAAGAGGGAACCACTTTGTTGCCACTCAGTCTATCTATGCTGCCATCTTTAAATATGATATGAGGAGAAAAATTATGGGCAATTTCACGCTTAGTTGAGCCCATATGGAAAGAAATGAAAGAAAAAATGGTCGACACTTTTCTGCTGTCAAAGAAACTGAGGTGGGAAAGTTGATGAAAACGATGAAGTTCAATTTAGGTCCAGAAAAATTATGGGCAATTTCACGCTTAGTAGTTAACCCTTATGCTGATGAAAATTAATTTATAATAATTGATTCGTTGATATTTAATCAGACATGAAAGTAAAACAGTGCTCCGAGATTCGTATTTTGTAAGTGGACTAACCGTCAAAGATGGTTTAGATAGTAATAATCCGCGTGCTAAAGGTCAAAGTTCGATTTTGAACGGAGAATTCTACAATGCCTTCGAATAATCCAAAAGTACCGTCTTGGAAGAAAAGGACTTTTTTTAAAAAAAAAAAAAATTATGATTGTAGAGTTTTTAATTGCCAACCTGATAATTCCACAGACAGTTCAATTTGGAAACAAACGTATTTAACGAGGGCAATTCTTGATCATGGCCGGAGTTTACAAGTAGTTGGTAAGGTTTAGTCATTTTTCCGAAGAGGCTGTAGTTTCAGAGAAATCCATAAGCACAAAAAAACCACTTTTATGCACATGCAACTTTTATAGTGCTTCTAAATAATTTGATCAGGAATTAATTTTAAAGAGAGTTTTTGAAATAGTTATAGTGACTTTTGTTATAGAGATATTTATGATTTTTTAGGCAAAAGAATTTGTGATGATATTTTTAGTTGTTATATAAAGAGTTGTCAAATTAGATAACTTTATTTACAAGAGTAAGGTAGTAATTTTGTTTAATTTTGTCGTGAATTTTCAAGAAGTAACCCTAATTTGTTCAAACCTTTTTGTCGGGAGACGAATCGGTTCGGACATCGGATCTATTTTAAATCTCAACACAATCAATGTGTTGGAGAACGTCCTAATTACTAAAGTGATTTTTAGTTAATAACAATCCATATTAGATAGAAGAATTTGTTAAAGATTTTTAGGATTTTCTTTCTCTTTTTCTCTATTTTTTTTAAATCTTCTTTTTTTTTTTAATGCCCTTTTCTACCTTGTTACTATTACTATTTTATTTTATTTTATTTGTCGATGGAGAACTATTATCGGTGCCTAAAAATTAAAGAAACGCGACAATTCGTTAACATATTAATTACCTAACTTAATTATTGAAATAAATTCTAAAATTTAATATTTTTACTAAATAAATTCAAAAAAATCTAAAATATTAAATCTAAGTGAAACAGGAAATAAAAATGCGTAAATAAAAACATTCAGGGTGTGTTTGTATTAAAGCATTGGGCTCTCTTTTTCTCTTTTTTTTGTTGGATTAATGGGCCCTCGGCCCGCTGGACCAGGGCTGCTAGACTGGCCAGCTAGGCAAGCCTGTCTTCCTTTTTGCTTTTAGGGTTTGGTCTGGGCTGAAACCAGCCCAACCCTGGGCCATGCAGACTGGGCTTTTCCTAGCCCGCTTGGTTTTCCCACAGGCTGGGTTTAGCCCAACCCTTTTCCATTTTTTTTCAAAAAAAAAAAAGAAAAGAAAAACACCAAATCCACAATTTCCCTGCATCTCAACCATTTTTTTAACAAAACACCAAACCTCAATCCCTGCAACACATTTTTTTTTTTAAACCCACCCCAAATTAATCAAAATCACACCTGATGCCTTCCATTCGCTCATCCTTCTCTGCCTCCTCCCTTTTTTTTATTGAAAACTCGCAGGGGTCGTGCAGCTACCTTTCTCTCCCAAATTAGCTTCCATCTCCTGGTTTTGTTTTATCGGTAGAGTGGGAGGGGGCTCCTCTGTGTTTGTATGTGTCCTATGGTAGGTTCGCGCTAGCAAGGATGGTTCTGGAGGCTTAGAGGTTGTGAGGGGTGTTCGGGTGGAGATGTCTTTGGTGAAGGTGTTGAAGATGAAGATGATGGGTCAGTGTCTTATGGAGGCTGGTGTGGCAGGTTAGATGGGGTGTTCGGTGAGGGTATGTGTGGAGAAGAAGATGATGGGTTCGTGGGTAAGAGAAGAGAGGTACAGCGGAGGTGTGACTAGCAGTGGGTTTTATTTATGGAGGATCGATTATGGTGATTTTTAGGAGAAGGGATGGATCTGCTGAGGTAGAGAATGGCATTGATGGTGGTTTGATGTCTTAGTTTCGACAGGAGGAACTGGATTGTGGTTACTAATAGGGGGTTGATTTTGATACTGGCGAACCGTCCACCAGGTGTTTGACAAAAATCCTCTGTGGCGCCTCCTTATGGTAACTGGTTTGGTGAGGGTTGCAACTTGGCTAGATGAAACTCGCGCGGAGATGGGAAGAGGCTGTGGTGTTCAGGCTTGACTGAAGTTTTGGTCGTGGGTGATGGTTTTGGTGAGTGTGGCTTAACAGCTAGAGAGTTGATGTGGCACAGCTAGAGAGCTTGATGTGGCAGTAGAGAATGGCTAGAGGAGCTGACCAGAGACAAGGTCTACAACTACTAACACTGTTGGTGGGTCAGGAATGAACGAAAGGCTGCAGAGGTGGCTACAGCTACTGTTGAGGTTCATCGCACAGGGAAAGACGTAGGTGATGGTGGCACTAACTAGAGAGGATGATTGGTTGTTGAGACGAGCAGCAATCAATGACTGTCTGAGGAAAGAGGCTTTAAAGTTACTAGAAAGTGAATGATGAGCTTCATTCGATGAGAAAGGATTCGGGAGAGGAAATGACCATTATTGACCTGGTGGCTAGCATGTAGAGCCGAAAACTATGAAATTTGATAGTGCAGGTGGTTATGTCGTGGTGGCGAGTTGAATTTGTTGCTAGAGTTGAGATTAGATGTGAGTTTGACGATGAGGGGCTTTCTGTTTTTTGTGGGTTTGACAATGGGGAGCTTTGTGTTTTGAATGGGTGGTGTTTAGGGATTTAGTTGGCAGCTTTGCAACGATGAAGTTAGCTACTAGTAGGTGATGATAGGAGGTTTTGGTGAACTTTTTAGTGGGGCGAGGGGCCTAGCCGTGAGTTTACGGTGAAGGGAGATTGGGGTGGTCTTATGATATGGTCTGCGGAGGCTACTGCCATGGAATTTTTCATAAACCAAAAGGGTCTTTATGGTGAAGGGAGATTGGGGTGGTCTTATGATATGGTTTGCAGAGGCGACTATCATGGAATTTCCATATACCAAAAGGGACTGCTGTTTTTTTTTTCTTTGGAGAAGATAGTGGCTGTCAGAAATTTTTTTCAAGAAGATCAATAGTAGTAAGCCTTTTTTTCTTAGAGGGCCTACATTTTTAGGGTTTTCATAGGATAAGAAGAAAGTTGTGGAGGCCTCCACAATTAAGGAAAAGGCTCTCTTGTATATAGATTTTTAGAATTAGGGGGTGAGTCATCTCCCCAATCATTATATATATATATTGTATTTTTATTATTTTTTTATTTTTGTAATAGATTCTAAAAATAAAGTAAAATGAGATAAAATAAAATAAAAATAAGAAACAAATAAAACAACAAAAATATGAAAAATAAACATTTTTCATATTTTTGTTGTTTTATTTGTTTCTTATTTTTATTTTATTTTATCTCATTTTACTTTATTTTTGAAATTTACTAAAAAAACAAAATAAAATTGAAAAAATAGAAATAATATATAATAAAAAAAGAAAAAAGATTGAGGGGATGATTCATCCTCCAACCCTAAAAATCCCTATATAAGTAACCATTTCTCTTCATTTTAAGAGACTTCTATAATTTTATTTTCATGCCATTAAAACCTTGAAAAAAAAAAAGGGCCACTATTAATCTTTTTGAAAAAAATTTCTAGCAGCCGCTCCTTACCCAAAGAAATATAACAAAGGCAGTTCTTCTCATCCTATGGAAAATTTCATAGCAGTAGCCTCCACAAACCATACCATACAGGGCTATCTTAATCTCCCTTCACTATAAACTCATGACTAGATCCCTCACCTCACTTAAGACTCCACCAAAACCTCTTATTATTATCACTTACTAATAGCTAACTTCACTATTATAAAGCTGTCAACTAAATATAAAAACACTGCCCATTCGAAACACAAAACCTTTTACTGTCAAACTTATATCTAATCTTAACTCCAACAACAAACTCAATCTCACCACCACGACAAAACCACCTGCACCAACAAAATTCTCCATCAACAAAAATAAATAAATAAATAATAACAACAAAAACAACAAAATGAAAATAGAGATTTTTTTAAAAATAGAAGAATTTTAAAAATATATATATAGAAAAATATAAAATATAAAATCTTAAAAATCTTTAACAGTTCCTATTAGATATGAGATTTTGTTAAAAAAAATTTTGGATTTTGGATTTTTTATTTTTCTCTATTTTCAATTTTTTTCCTATTTTCCTAATACTTTTTTTTCTTTTTTTTTTTTTTTATTACTATGTTTTTATATATTTTTTTATTGGTGGGGAAAAGTCATCGATCCCTAAAAAAATAGAAGACTCGACAATTCGTCCACTTATTAATTACTTAACATAATTATTGAAATAAATTATAAAATTAAACATTTACTAAATAAATTCAAAAAAATCCAAAATATTAAATATAAATTAAATAAGAAATAAAAATGTATCAATAAAAACATTCAGGGTCAATGGGCCTAGGAAAAAATGGAATTAAAAGATTCGGCCCTTTCTTAGGGTTCAGCCCACTAGGCTAGGGCTGCAGCCTTTCCCCTTTTGAGGCTTGGGCTGGGATAAAACCAGCCCAAGCTTGACCATGCGGGATGGGCTTAGGTGAGCCCGCTTGGCTTTCCACAGGCTCAGCCCTTTTTTCATTTTTTATTCACAAACAAAGATGTAACCCACTCCTGTAACATTTCTTGAGCCAGCCACAAACTAAACAAAGATCAAAACTTCAAGGTCCATCTTCTCCCCCTTTTCTCTGGTCTTCCCGTTTTTTAAGACTATCACCACCAGGAAATCTCCAAGCTCATCGAAATGTTAGAAAAAAATTTTATAATACTTAAAAAATAATTAATGATATATATAATAATTAATTTATAAATATATTTAAAAATATATAAAAAAAATTTATAATATTTAAAAAATAACTAATGACATATATAATAATTAATTTATAAATATGTTTAAAAAAAAGAGATATAGTAAAATAAATAAATAAATAAAATTTTTGTAAATACAATTGTACATTTTTCGTTCTTCTATTTATCTATCTTTTTCTTTGAATTAAGCTTATAGAGTAACCGTTATATATACTACTCTTGCTATCGAGTATTATAAAATTTCTCATATTAGATCTCTACCCCCGTCAAACCCTCCTTCATGTTCTTCCCCCACTTTGCTTCTTTCTGGACCTTCTGTTGTTCACTATTTTGCTAGCTTCCCACCCCTCGTTGACCCCTGAGCTCTTGCATTTTTCTTTGTCTATTTGTTTCTAACTGAAGATCAACCATTGATTGATTGGAGTGATGGAGAAAGTTGGATACTTGCTGAAGATTGTGAATCTGATGCGTGCTTCGCCTTGTTTCACTTTTCTTTACTCCTCCTCCAAAGAGATTTTGTATATTTTTTTGGTGGATGCTTATACGGACTTGGGTGATGATGGTCAATCGATGGAAAGGATGGCCATGGTTGCAGGTCTCTCTCCCTGGTGTTTTTTTTTTTTTTTGCTTGTAAACAATAGCAATTTTAGTATGAGTGAACTGCCTACTAGGTGTTTGATGAAAATCCTCCGTGACCCTCATTTTGAATATCTCCTAAATGCATTAGGGTCTGGTAGGGGAAGCTTATGTTGGTTTTGTAGTTGGTGAATGGTTAGTGGGTGAGGATAGTGTAGGAGAAAGAGAGGCAGTAGTAAAGGAGTTCGATTGGAGCTTAGTGGCAGGTTGGAGTGACTGTGTGATGTAGCTGTTGTGGTGGTTTGTTGCAGCAGTAAAGATGGCTATGTGTATCTGAAGAAGTTGAGGAACTCTGGGAAGCTGCTGTGATGAAGGAGGAAATGTGAGACTGGTAGGTCTATGGTGTTAAGTGCCCATTGGGTTCGAGATTTATTAGAGCTGGCTGCTGCAGTGGAGATGGCTGCTAGCTGGTGAGGACGACAGAGGTTTTTAGAGAGTCTTCAGTCAGGGAGAAAAATAAAGAGAGGGTTGGCTATTGGGGGAGATTTGTCAAGAAAGGGTTTTCAATCGGGCTTTCTGGGACGAGTCACTGGTTTCTTGGTGGTTGCCCTGGCTGTGTTTGAGAGGGAGAGGTTAGAGAGATGGAGAATGATGGCTTGGTTTGTGATGGGCTCCTGTGAGGATGGAGGCAGCTAGGGTTTTGGTGACTATGTAGTGGTCCAAGGGCTGTGGCTCAATGGAGAGGGAGCTATGAGTTTGACAACGAAAGGCTGTTTAGAGATGGTAGTTTGTAGAGGCTTGGAGGAGGGAGGAAGATGGCATGTTCGGAAGAGCCATGGCAGCCATCCTCTTACAGTGAAGGTGGCTCGAATTTTTTTTTCCGTAAAAAACTACAATTTTTTAGGGTTTTTTGTGGGATCAGGGAATTGTGGAGCTGGAAGCAGCTGGCGTTTGATGATGAACCTGGATTTTAGGTTCGGCCAGACGAAGAAAATGATAGGAGGGAAATTTTGATGTAACTAGATCTTTTTTATTTTCAGGGAGATGATGGCTGCTAGGGTGATTTTGGTGCTTCCTACATTTTTCTTGCTAGGTTTTTTTTTAGCGTGGGAGTTGCTATGGAGGCTCTTCTAGCTTGAAAGGAAAGAGCTGCTTACATAAGGATTTTTAGTGTTGGGGATTAGTATCTCCTCGACCATATATATATATATATATATATATTGTAATAGATTTTAAAATAAAGTAAAATGAGATAAAATAAAATAAAAAAATGAAAGAAAATTTTGAGTTATGACAAAACAAAATGATTATTCATGGGTTGATTGTTTGCATTCACAAATTTTGTCACAAGTGAGATGGATATAAAGATATAAAAAATCACATTTGGATCTATTAAAATTAATAAAAATATCTCCACTTAGGCTTTTATATATATCTATATTTGTTAGTCCTTTTGGGGGGGGGGTGGGGGGGGGGGGGGGGGGTTGGTTGGTTATACAGCAATTATTGATAGTTAGTACACTTAGACTGCTCTAAAATTTCTCAATTAACCAAACACAATAAAAACATATTGATTTCAACAATCACGTTCCAAGAGGAAATCTAAATATACCTCTACTAAATGCCCACCGTATAGTTTTATAGGTTGACGGTATTTTTCAACAATCATACAAAAATTAAAACGGATGTTGGCATTTTTAAGAATAAATTATAAATTAGTCCTTCTATTTTTTTCAAAATAAATTAAATAGTTCTTCTAGTTCAAAACTAATTAATTAGTCTTTATGTTTTTAAATCTACTTTTTAACCCAATACATTTTATTCATTTTCAATTCAGTTTGATTTTTTATTTTAAGAATTAGGAAAAGAAAAAAACTAAGTAAGAAAAAATGAAAAGATTGACGAGAAAAGAAGATAGTTTTTGAAACAAAATAGTATTAAATCAACTATGATCAACACTGTTCAAAAAAATAATTAATTAATTTTTTAAGTAAGAAGGACTATTTAATTTGTTTTGCAAAATAAGGGGACTAATTTACAATTTACTACTTTTTTAAAAATATTTTAAATGTCATATATGAGCTCTTAAAGGCAAATGTTTGACATTTTTCAAAGCATACACAGATCGCCTATTGGGAAAAAATAAAATAATTTTCTTTTGGATAATAAGTAGAGCAAATTATAATTTAGTCTTTGTGTTTTTTATGATTTTGTAAGTTAATTCTTGTGGTTTTGAAAATCATAAGTTAATATTGCCAAAAAAAAAAAATCATCTTTCTAAATTACATTTTTTGAATGTATTTTTTATTTTAGTTTTTGTAGGTGAGATTGCAAAATTTGATTAGAAATGAAAACATTTTAAGAAAAAATAATTAAATTGTCATGGAAAAAAGAAGAAGAAGAACTAAGTTATAAATAAATACGAAAATACAAGTACTCGACATTGGATTTTCAAAACCAAAGAAGTTAAACTAATTATTTCACTAAATGTACTTAATAAATACTCGGACACTTCTAAAATATAAGCAATATGATTATAGCGCCTTTGGCTAACTATATAAAATGGCATTGTGTAATAACATTGGAATTTCAGAACCTTCTGCGATAAACCATCTATGATAAACTATTGATGGACTTTGGGCCCGGGTATCAACAACTAATAAGGTGAGGCGGCCGTTAAAAAAAAAAAAAACGCAGAAAAGGCTGGCTGGAATAAAAAATTATATATAAATTGGCGATGCAAAAGAATTGTGAATTGGGTCGCGCAGAAGAAATAAGAATTCTGATTTTCGTTTGGAATGATCCGATCAGATAAATGATCTGGTCGTCCTGAACCCAGTCCATGTAAGAATGAGAGCAGATTGATCGGGTGCTGTCGAATTCTATATCTAGAGTTTTTTTATCAATTGGGCAGAGATTGGACCCATTTCTATTTTTTTCTAAGAACATAGAGAAATTGACTAGTTGATTGTTTTTAGAGCACAATTAGGTTTTTAATTCGTGCTACTACTGTTGGTTAAATAAAATATATAAAATTATTTAAAAAAATATATAAAATTAAAAATGAAAATAAAAATATATTTAACTATTTTTTTTCATAAATTTTCTTTTGGAAAAAGTATTTATCCTTGTTAACCTATAGATTATTAACTAAAATAAAAATTAAATATTTTTTTAAAAAAAGCTTTAGTATTTCATAAAATTATGTTGAAAAACATAAATAACAATTATTAAAAGCTTACATAGAATTTAACAAATAATTTTTTTTATTTAATGTTGAAGAGAATATCGATTTTTGAAAAAAAAATGAATTTAATTTTTATATATTTATTTACAAAAGAATGAATAATATTAAAATAAAAACTATATTAATTTGAATCATTGAGTGGTTAGGATAAAACATTATTTTAATTATTTAATTCAAAAATAACCAAATAAATAGTAAATGCTTAGTGTAGAAGAATAATATTATTATAATATGATCATAATATTAATAACATATGACTATATTAAAAAACTAACAAATTAAAGTAGTAAATTTTAAATAATAAAAATAATTAAAATAAAACACTAAAATAAAATGGAATCAAATCACAATACAATTAAAGTTTGAAATTTTAATAATAACTATTAAAAGCTTACATAGAATTAAAAAAATAATTTTTTTTTCATTTAATGTTGATGAAAATATCGGTTTTTGAAAAAATATGAATTTAATTTTTATATAGTTATTTACAAAATAATGAATAATATTAAAATAAAAAAATATATTAATTTGAATCATTTAGTGGTTAAACCAAAACATTATTTGAATTATTTAATTCAAAAATAAATAAATAAATAGTAAATGCTTAGTGTAGATAAATAATACTATTATAATATGATCATAATATTAATAACATATCAGTATATTTTAAAAATGATAAATTAAAATAGTAAATTTTAAATAATAAAAATAATTAAAAGAAAACACTAAAACAAAATGGGACTAAATCACAATACAATTAGAGTTTAAAATTGAAAAAAAAGAAAAGAAAAGTGAGGACCAATGTGCTAAAAAATGACATGAATAGTGAAAGAAATAGTGATTTGTGAGTGTATGAATAGTGTTTTAAATAATGAAAATGAATAGTAAAACTATTTTACTTTAGTTTTTTTAGTAATTAGCTGATTGCCCACGCTTTAGAATAGAATCATTTTAAAATTTTATAATTACAATGTTTTATCTAATTGTATTTTTTTATAAATTTTCTACTTTTAAAAAATATGATTTATTCTTCTTTATGCATAGATTTTGAAATAAAAACTTATAATAAGTTAAACTAAAATATTAATCAAGAATTACAAAAATACATAAAACTATATTTTCTTTTCATAAGAATGTATTTAAAAAATAAAGTTACAATTAATTTATAGACTTATATGAAAATTAACTGATAAAAATTTTTTTTACTCTTATTTAATGTTGATAAGATAATTTTTTTATGAAAGTATATGCATTTGACCAATATTTATTTATTTACAAAATAATCAACAATGTTAGTATAAAAATTAGCTAATAAAAAAATAATTTTTACTCTTATTTAATCATATGAAAGTATATGATTGTTTTCCGAAAGTATATGCATTTGATCAATATTTATTTATTTATAAAATAATCAACAATATTAGCATAAAAAGTTGTATTTGAACAATTGGATGATTTTTTAAAAAATTTATTTAAATTATCTCATTTCAACTAAAATGATTATATAATTTTTTTAAAAAAAATATTTATAGTAAATAGTTAGTGTTATGTGTGAAGATGTATAATTAATTTTTAATAAAATCGATTATTCAATAGTTTTTATACGTTTTAACCATGTTTAGTGATTACAACAAGTTATTTGAAATATGCTTTTAAAATTTTAGATTAAAATAATGATATATTTATATATGAGTAGCTATCATTTAAAAATTCTAAAAATACATGATATATGTTATATTGGTTTATTTTTTTAAAGAAGACAAATTTATTTTAAAATTTTATTCCAAAATTAAAAAATGGAAAAAATTATATTTATCAATAAAAAAAATATCAAAAAGTATTAATTGGACAAGGATTTTCATAAAAAATGATAAATTCAATGAATAAATTCTATATAATAAGAGTGCTATAATCCAAAATATATGTTAATTTTAATATATATATCTTCTTTATGCTATGTGAAAAACATAAATAATAATGGTCGATATTTCATAAGTTTTGCCTTAAAATTCTTAATTAAAAAAATTAAAGAAAAAAGCCAAAATTTAAAGAAAAGAAAAGAAAAAAAAGGAGAAAGCCCACGAACTGGGCCTAGAGGAACAAGCTCGCACGCATGGGCCTAGGTAAAAAAAATTTCCTCTTAATTTCTGACAACCTCTGCATTTTTCGACGATCGTTTTAACCGAGAAAAATTTTGGAATGTTGGATTTTATTATTCCAGGCCTCCCAAAACCAAATTTAGGCTCAATTTTGTTCAAAAATACCTCAAAATCTATTATAATTAACACAAGATACACAAAAATTCAAATTAAAATAAAAAATTCAAAATATTTTGGTTTTATAATCTATCTCCTTTTATTATTTTATGGTTTTCTATCACCATAAACGAATTCTATTCTTCGATACGAATAAAACGATAGTAAAATCAATTATTGAGGTGGTCAGAAGTGGCCTCATCGGTCATCTCTCTCTCCTTCCCTCTCTTCTCTTTTAGGATGTAGAAACCAAAACGAATGAAGTATAAAATTTCAGATCGAAAAAATGTTGTTCACAGATAGAGCGGCCAAAGTGAATGTTTTTGTTCAACTAGTAAATAGATAGTGATCTTAGAAAGAGCGAACAATGAATTTCGCTTTGCTTTAGATGTTTTAGTTAATTTTGCTTTTATGCTGATTAGAGTTGTTAGGCAAGGGCATGTGCTGGTTCTAAGATTTAACTAATGACATT